TGCCCATCATAGAGACTGGTCAAATGGTCGAACAGTTGGACACTTAGCATATTAATATGGCTCTTATTACATAGGATTATTAAATTAATATAATTATTTAATAATGTATAATTCATTAATTTAATGTATTTCATACTTTTGATGAATATAAATGAAAATTTAATATTTAATATCTCCCTCTTACCTCACAGTTGAGGCAGAAGCTATATTACAGCTCCTCCGCCATTGCTCCAGTTTTTCATTTAGAAACTGTGATGTCCTCTGGGAATTAAAAAATTCTCAGGTGATCTCAGTGTATTGAGAAATACAGACCTAGCCTTCTGACTGAGCCTCAGAGACACTCCTGTTTCTCCGGTGCTCACTGGGAGGGTTGGGATATCACCTTGCTAGGGAGTTAGGACTTATTTCAAGCATTGAGAGCAATGGAGCTCTATATGAAAACCAGCTTTTACACCTTTCCACTTGAATCCTATCCATCTTCAATGGTCTCTGAATACACTTCACCCGGAAAATAAAGGTGAAAGTAAAGGGAATATAAATTTCAGAAATGAAAACAAAGATCAAATGACCTTTCTTTTTGATGACTTGATTAAGCCCATTACTCCCTTATCGGTGGAAAGATGACCCCAGTTGGGGATTTTTGAGCTTGTGCTGTCCATGAGGGTTTCATATCTAGAAAGCAAAGGGAGTTGGAGGAAAGGGAAAAATTCAAGGGAAGGTAGTTCTGGTTTTAACAAGCACTGTCTAATGTTACCATAAGTCATCATGTCAAAATAAGGAAGCGGAGATGTCAATTGCCCAGTCACCTACCATTTGAATGTTTCTTGTAGATGTTTTTAGTTGCCATTAGTCTTCTAATATAAGACAAGGCCAGTCCTTCCCTTCCCTTTGTAAGATCTACAACTAAACATGACATCGCCGATCTGCTTAGACGTCCTTTCCTCCAACTCCTTTTGCTTTCTAGATATGCAGCCCTCATGGACAGCAGAAGCTCAAAATTCCTACCCGGGTCATCTTTCTGCCGATAAGGGAGTAATGGGCCTCAATCAAGTCATCGAAAAACAATCTTTGTTTTCATTTCTGAAATTTATATTCCCCTTACTTTAACCTTTATTCTCTGAAATCAGCATTGCCTAGAAATCACTCTGAAGACAATTATGCTGCTTCCCCAGAAACTCCAGAGCCGGCAGGCAAGAGCCATCCCAGCCCACACCCAGGCCCCCGCATGCCGCCATCCTTACTCACAGCTCATGTGGGTTTTCCCAGGACAAAGGAGATTCAAAACACACGCTTTGGGGCAACATGGCCCCAGGAGGAGATTCCTGCTAACAGAGCGGAGCCTGACAAGGAGTACAGCTCATCCCAACCCGCGCCTGGATCAGCATGCATATTTGAGAAGAATTGCCAAGGACCAAATAGAAAACACACACAGCTTCATTCTTGTGGTTTCTGTGCCCCTCTTTCCGACAGGCTTGGACAAATTCTACTAATTCTATTGCTAAATGATGGCTCTGAAAGCATTTCCAGCACTGGAGGGAGAAAGGCGACAGGGCAGGAGGAGGAGAGGGAGGGTGGGTAAAATACGCCGGGGGCCCTTTGGGGGCCACCCAAACTGCTATGGGAAGATGTTTCCACTCACCTTACAACTATTTTGAAACTTTGCTTTTATCCAGGTAGAGATTGATGGGGGTTGGAGGGCACACGATGAAGAAGAAGGAAGGTGAGGCCTGTCTGCAAGGTGCAATCAGCTCAGTTCTGCAATCCCGCGTGGAACAGTTGTTGCACTGAGGCGAGCAGTGCCCCCCCCGCTGCCTGCATGAGGGGCCAGGGCTCTGGCTTAGGTGGCTGTCCTGATACTAAGATTTATCAAAGCAGGGCCCCAAATTATAAGTTTTTGCTATTCAAAGCAAAACATGGTGCTGGGAACGTGGCTAGGTCTAAAACATTAAGCCCAAGCAGCGCACAGAAAGGATAAAACCAAGAGTTGGAAGAATGAGCAGCTGGGTCTGGGAGAGGTTTAGGAGGGAAGGCCTGGAAAAATCCCACAGAGCATGCCTTTGAAGGAGGCATCACGATGACCCCACGGAGCAGCCAGTGCTGTGCAGGGCCCAGCTTGGGTCAGAGAAGCGAATCACAAAGTTTCAGCCTCAGAGAAGGAGCACGCCCGAAGAGGAGCGAGAGGCCTCACCCACACGCTTCGTCCACGAGCACTGTGGCAGTGGTGAGGGAGTGTGGTGGTTTGGGTGCTGTTTCTTAAAGTTTCTGCTGGCAAGTGACATATCACTTCCATTCCTGAGTCCTGGGTCATAACAAGGCATATGGCCTCACATCAAAAGGGGGAAGGAAGAATGATGTCACCATGTGCCCAGCAAGCATGCATGCAACTGGCAATATTTCGTGACCAGCACGAAGCTGGCACTCTAATATCAGATGCATTATTCAGGGTGGGGCAAAAGTGGGTTTACAGTTGTTCGTATGGAGAAAGACATGCAGGTTATGATGATTACAATAGCTTCATTCACTCTGTGCTTTGCACACTCACAAGTCTAAACCTACTTTTGCCCCACCTTGTGTAGTTATTTCTTTGTTGTCAATCTCCTTCCTTCAGGTTTTCAGCTGCATAAAGGCAATGCCTTTACTTCATTTCTTGCGATGTCTCTGATGTTTAGAACATGCTTGGCATGCGGTAAGCACTTAATAAACATTTGTTGAATGATTGGATAAATGTCTAAGCTTTTTTCCAAGACTGAAACTCCTTGAGGGCACACTCGACGCTCATTTATCTTTGTGTCTGCTTTGATTTCTGGAGAGTGTCTTGGACCCACCAAACATTCATTAAACATTTTCCCAATGGAAAACAGCCTGTGGCTTAAGACCATGCCTCCTGTTTTTCAGAACTCAAAAATAAAATATTTTTCAGCTAAAAAAATACTGGGAACAGAACAGGATAATGAAGGGAGAGAAAAAGAAGGAGTGAGAGAGAGAGAAAGGGGCGGAAGCCTTTTGACTAAGTGCGGCCCTGCATTAAGCAATTCCAGAACTCTCCAAGTTCACAGCAGTCAACTGAGCCCAGATTTCTTAAAAGAAATGATATTCATTACCTGCCTTTTATTTTAATCTACTTCCCCCTTCTGTGGCACATAGCCTAACACTCTTCTTTCCGAGTCTGGCTAGAAAAAAATTAAAAGTTAGAACATTGCATGGCTCACTATGCACAGTTCAAATCAACAGATAATTACCCGTTTTAGAAAATTGCTATTTTTAAACACCACTTGATTTTTAGTTTACCTTTATAGTGAGAAATTTTGTGGTTGTGCCTTTCCAAGGACAAGCCTTAGTGGGAAAACAAACGAAAGAAATGACCATGAGGCACCAAGGCAGTGTTTGAGAGAAAAATGATATTTGTGATATAGGCAATTGATGCAGGTCGCAACTTGTTTGCTCATAGATATTTGGTGTCAACACCTCTGAAATGTGGAATGAATAGATGATAAACATTTAGTCTTGTTCAGAAATTGAGCATTCGTATGAACATATCTGTATTCGCTTTGTTATTTATGAATAAAAACACTGTAAGTGTACCCACAAAGAAATCTGTCTGGACCGAGACAGGAAGATTTTTGAGGCCTTTTCAAAATGAAAACTATAAAGATTGCCTCCCATCTTTCCCTTCCCAAGAAAAAGCTGGAGACACAGGCCCAGCAAGCATGCATGCAACTGACTACTGTGCTTTCAGAACAGCTAGGTTTTGTTTGCTTGTTTTTGTTTGATGTTGCACTCCTGAGAGAGGAAAAGAGTGGCGTGTTTGTGGTACAGTTAAAGAGTGGTGCTGATAAAAACACAGCCTGGGAGTGAGCGCCCAGGAGAGCCTGCTACAGATCTGCATCTTGGCCCCGAGAACCCACGCTTCAGTGCGGTGCAGGCCGGTGGCACCAGGAAGCTCCAGCCAGAAGGCTTCCTTAGTGCGAGCAAGCTTCTGTGAAACAAAAGGCAGGATTTCTGACAAGTGAAAATCGGACTCAAAGACAAGGTCCTTTGCAAGGTCTCCTTCCCCATTAGAGACTAAGACTTGTTTCTGGCACCCAGCTTCCACCTGTGCTTTGGGATCCTGGCCTTGCCCACCTGCTCCTCCTGCCCTCCCTCTGGAACCACGTGACCAGGAAACGATAGTGACAGCAAATATTCACGTGCCAGATACAGTATTAGGATGCATGCACGTCTTCATTTACTCTCCAGAACAACCCTATGACATTATAATCTCACTTTTACAGGAAAGAGGCTAATTAAGGAACGTGCCTGAAGAAGCCCAGCTGGTCAGTGGATGGGAGGGTACTTTCACCGCCTCTGCCTGATTCCAGAACAGCACTGACCATGGGAAGTACAAAGCAGGCCACAGGCATAATTTTAAACTTTCTTGTAGCCATATTTAAAAAGTAAAAAGAAGTGGGTAAAATTAAAAAATTTTTTTTTGCTTTTTTATTGAATTTAATTTTTTTGTTAATCCTTACCTATGGATATTTTTCCATTGATTTTTAGAGAGAGTGGAAGAGAGAGGGAAAGTCAGAAAGAAACTTCAGTGTGAGAGAAATGTATCAGTTGGTTGGCTCCTGCATGAGCCCTGATTAGGGCCCAGGTCGGGGAGGAGCCTGCAACCAAGGCACATGCCCTTGACAGAAATTGAACCTGGGACCCTTTGGTCCAAAGGTCAACACTCTATCCACTGAGCCAAACCAAGTAAGGCTGCTTTTTTATTGAATTTAATGGGATGACATTGGTTGATAAAATTATATAGGTTTCAAGTATACAATTCTACAAAACATCAGTATATTCCATTGGGTGTTTATCACCCCAATCTCTACCCTAATATATTATTTTAGCATGTAATCAATATAAAAAATTTTAAGGAATACCTAACTTCTGTTTTATTCTGTCTCAAAGAATGATATGTATTTTACATTTAAAGAAATCTCCATTTGTATTAGCCACATTCTAAGTGATCAAGAACCCTACCCAGGTGGCTCATGGCTCCCGAATAGGATTGTAGAGCTGGGGGTCTACCTACTACTCCACAGTGTCTATGCTCCAAATTCTGGGAGAAAGTTAGAAGAGTGGGAATGGTCACCTGAAGTCACCACTAGCATCTTCAGCATGGAAGGAGGCTGGGGCAGAGCTGCTATTAGTATAGATTCAAACAAAGTGCCCCTCTGGGCAGATGACCCTGCACCAGTATGCATGGCTGGGTCAGCACAGTGCTCACAAGATTTCAATTTCTCTTGCCACCTGGGCCGGGTACCCTTACACAGTGAACCAGCAGCCCGGCCATCCATGGCGGCCCACTTCCTTCAATGGTCTCACCACCTTCTGGCTCTTAGCAACTAAGACTCATCTGTAGAGAAATCTCTACACCAAGGTTTTGTATCCAGAGAAGTAATTCTTTCCCTTCTCTTAATATTTACATTCTTCTAAACATTTCTAATGGACGGAAATGCTTCTAATTGAAAAAAAATGTATTCCTTGATGAGGCAATAGGACTGAGAAACCCTCAAAGGAACCCCTGTCAATGGAGGAACTGACTTCCAATTGGCTGGAGAGTGCCTGACCTACCACAGAATCCCCGGCACTAGTCTTCTGAGATGAGCATGCTTTAGAGATGGACCAGATGGAAGGAGTCCGTGCTCCATCTGTTTACCATATAGATGTGGCCATTGTCCAAATTGTGTAAAATCATCAGGAGAGAAAAAAACCACAAGGCGGTGCATTTTGAGGGTGATCACAGCTCTTTGAACCATTTTAAAAGCACTGCCTATTTTGTGTGTGTGTGTGTGTGTGTGTGTGTGTGTGTGTGTGTGTAAGGGACACCTTCCATGTCTCAGTAGGTCCTGATAGACCTGCATTTGAACCTCTGGTCTGTCTCTGTCAGTGGTATCAGGGCAAGTTAATTCATTTTGCTGCTCTTCAGTATCTCCATCTCTGTCATAGGGTTGGTGTGAGGATTAAGAGATCAGAGGGATTGTTCATCCAGAGAACTTCACACAGTGTGAGATTGATAAATGGCAGCTGTTAGGATTGGCAATAATAATTTCTTATTATTTTAATTTTAATTAATATTTTATTATTTGTAAGACTTTAGTTCTCTCACAGCATTTCTAACAATGAGCTAATGGAGTCCTAGCATTCCTTAGACTTGAGGCCTCAAGAAATAGTTCACAAATGTGCTGGCTACAATGTAGCCTTAAGAATAAATTAAGATATCCCAGCTGTAATTTTTTCACTTCAATTCAGCAAGGAGTTGAATATTCATGGAGTATTTACCTGGTCCTGGGCTGAGTGGAATTGCAAAGAAACTTGTACCAGGATCCCTCACTCATGGACCTTCTTAAAATGTGCAGAGTGACTGCTACACACCTTCCCCCTGGACTCCCTCCACATAAACTCCTGGGGAGAGAAGATGGTGCCTCCAGCCTCTAGTCTCGTGCCTGGCACATGGTAAACACTTAGAAAGATCCTTCTGAATGAATAAAAGCTGTAGATGAGATAGGTATATCTGTTCTAGAGAGTTTTTTCCGAGTCTTATCTCCAGCTCCATGCCCAACTATTCCCATGTCCTTACACTATTTTATGCCCCAACATGCTAAGCTTTCTGCATTTCGTGCCACATGATCACTTAGCCTTCCATGCGCTGTTCCCACTCTCTGAATGCCCTTCCTCGTTTGCCTGGTGAGCTCCTAACCATCCAGTCAAGCACCATCTCCTCAGTGAAACCTTCCAGACCTCCCAGAGTTAATTACACTCTCCTCAGTGCTCTCCTGGTGTTCTGAACATAACATTTATAGGGCCCAGGAAAAAGCACAGATGGAGGCCTACATACCACATGTCCAAATGTTTAAGAAGTTATAAATCAAGCTAATCAATGGTTGAATAAAATATGTTCTAGTCTCCCTTGTCAAATATACCATCATAATAACAGGATAAAAATTATGTGCAAACATTGTTTTTATAAGATGGAAAGTTGACAAAATATTGCAGAAGATCACATTGAACAGCCAGTATTAAACATTATTTAATTTATAGACTAGCAACATTTGGATGAGTAATAAAAATATAATTCACACATTATTATGCATCATTGTGGACATTTTTGTAGTTATTCCACAAGTAAGATTTTTTCTTGACTTTAGCAAAAAATCATTTATTTTATTATAATAAAGACTTCCATTTAATTTGTATTATATTGACAATTATGATTTAAAGGATTAAACGATAAAATGTGGTTGTAGTCAATGGATACAAAATTGGAATATATTTTGTCTGAATATTAAAGTAAATGCAAAATCAATAAATTAAAGCTATGTGTGCTTTTAAGAAATATTCTTCTAAATATTTTAAATTAGCTACAAAATTAAAAGGCAAAGTACATGATAATTAATGCATATCAAAACTTTAAGTCAAAATGTTTTATTGCCTAGTGATATCATAGCTGCATAACATCATAGCATAATGCATTACTCTTGTGTTACATCTTGGTGATGCTGGCATAAGCAAACCCACTGACTGAAAGTCATGTAAGAGTATAGTTCATAAAATTATGTGTAGCACATAATGCTTGATAATGATAATAAATGACATGTTACTGGTTTGTACAGTTACCATACCATGCTTTTAACATTATTTGAGTATATCTTTTCTTATAATAATATAAAAAAATGTTTGCTGTAAAACAGTATGCTGTTACTCTAGCAACAGCCTCATACATCTCAAGTTTATCACGCTTCTTTTTTAAAACTTTATATTTTATTGATTTTTTTTTTTTACAGAGAGGAATGGAGAGAGATAGAGAGCTAGAAACATCGATGAGAGAGAAACATTGATCAGCCTACTACTGCACACCCCCTACCGGGGATGTGCCCACAACCAACGTACATGCTCTTGACTGGAATCGAACCTGGGACCTTTCAGTCCACAGGCTGATGCTCTATCCACTGAACCAAACTGGTTTCGGCTACCATGTTTCTTGATTGCACTATTTCTTTTGTGTGTGATTTAATCTCATGGTGTAGCCTAGTGTATGGTAGTTATAAAGTCCACAGTGGTGTACAGCAACGTCCTGGGCCTTCACATTCACTTACCACTCACTCACTGCCTCACCCAGTCCTACAAGCTCCATTCTTGTTAAGTGGTCTAAAAGGTGTACCATGTTTTAATGTTTTATAACCTATTTTTACTATAACTTTTCTTTGTTTAAATGAGTTTAGATACTTAAGTACTTACCATTGAGTTGCAATTGCCTACAGTTTTCCTTTCGCACTGTAGCACGCTGTATGGGCATATAGCCTGTTCGAAGCAGTAGGCTTTCTGAGATAGCCTCTGTGTGCAGTAGGTCATGCCATCTAGGTTTGTGTAAGTGCACTCTGACGTTAGCATGACTCAAAATCACTTAATGATGCATCTTTCAGAACTCATCCCGGCGCCTGTATTTCATGCGCCAGTCAGATCTAAGTCGGAGCACATACATTTAAGAGTAATGGGAATTTTTAAATGTTGCAAATTGGTTTCTGCAGAAGCCATGTGCAGCAGTTTGAGTAATGAGCTAATTGGTGAGCATCTTCCAGACTACAATTTGGGACATCAAAAGAAGCAAGAAAATGGATGCCCGGGCCTATTGGGAAACGATGCTATATATTTATGCAAGAGAAATGAGGTGACAAGTTCATTTGTCTTTCTTACCTCAGTACTTTCACTGCTCAAGTCCTCTTCTCAAAAGCAGGGTTTCCTCTCCAGCACTGGCAATGGCACAACCTGCACACACTGAGGGCAGTCATATGCTTATAGTTTAAGGATAGGGGGCAAGAGATACTGAGAAATGTTTCCCTGGAGGAATGAAGGATGTTTAGAATTACCAGACATGTGCAGGCACTGAGTGCCAGATCCCCAGTAACAGAGTTCATGAGCTCTTTAATAAAATGTGTGTGTGTGTGTGTGTGTGTGTGTGTGTGTGTGTATTGACATAGTGCCGTTATTCTTTACATATTGTCACCTAAATGAAACCCTTGCTTCCTCTAGCATGAAACCTTGAAATCACCCCGGACTCTTTCCTTTTTCTCACATCCTATATCAAATTCATTTCCTAATCTAATTGGCATTAACTTCAAAGATAATTCCTGAATCTAACCATATATCCAACTTCCTCCACCACCATTGTAGCCCAAGCCACTGTTGTCTTTCATCTCTTGGCACACTGAGCCTCCTAACTCATCCGTTTCCTCTCTCCCCCTTCCCCGATGGCTCCTAAAGTCTTTAACAGTAGGCAGTCATCCCCTTAAAATCTAAGTAACATCATGTCAGCCCTGTGCTCAAATCGCTTCAATACTTTCCTGTCACATTTAGAATAAAGTCCGTAGTCTTTGCTGTCGTCTACAAGGCTGTCCTGGATTTGCCTCTTGTCTAACCTCTCTTTCTTCATCTCCTGTCATTCACTCCAGACACATGGACTTCCGCTGTCTGTCAAATATTCTCAGCACACACCACCCTCAGGACCTTTGTGCCTATCATCCCTCAGACCTTTATTTATAAATGACTCATCACCCGAGGTTCCCCACCCCCCATTGGTTTTTAGAGACCTAGAGTCAAAGACTAGCTCTGTGATCTCATTTCCTGCGGACACTTTCTAAAAAGCACACTTGGCCTCCTCTACTTTGATATAGTCCTTTACTTTGATATGTTCTTTGTTTAGAAGACTTATCACCTGGTATAATATTACGTAACTATTTTTTCTTTTGAATAAGTTTTTAATGACTTCAGAGAGAAGAAGGGAGAGGGAGAGAGAGAGAAAAACATTAATGGTGATAGAGAATCACTGATTGGCTGTGTCCCGCATGCCCCACACTGGGGATTGAGCCTGCAAGCCCGGCCTGTGCCCTGACCTGGCATCAAACCATGACCTTGTGGTTCATGGGTCAATGCTCAACCACTGAGCCACACTCGTGGGCACATATATATTTTTTAATGCTGTGTGTC